AGACACCACTCTCCAAGAAGTAACAAATGGTGTGTTGATGATGAACCCCTTGCTCTTGTGCTTCAAATGATAGTCTCCCCAACACTCAACTCTCTCACACAAGATTTGGATTTGGTGGAAAGAAGATTTGAGTGGAAAGCAACTTGGGGAAGGCTAGAGATCAAGATTCATATGGTAGGAATGGAATATCTTGGTCTCAACACATGAGTAGGTGGTTCTCTCTCAGAAAATGTAAGTTGGAAGTGTAGGTTCATTCTGATGGCTCTCTCCATGAATGAAGAGGAGGTGGAGGGGTATATATAGCCTCCACACAAAATCTAACTGTTACACACAACTTGCCAATCTCGGTGGGACCGAATTGATAAACTCGGTCGGACCGATTTAGCAAATCTAGTGACCATTAGGATTTTCGGTGGGACCGACATGCAACTCGGTAGGACCGATATGGTTAGGGTTAGGGCATAACGTAATCTCGGTGAGACCGATTACACAAACTCGGTGAGACCAATTTTGGTAATAAGCTAACCAGAGAGTTGTTCAGGTAAACTCGGTGGGACCATTCCGCTCATTTCGGTGAGACCGAAATGTTATGAAAGGGAAACAGAGAGTTTACATAGCAATCTCGGTGGGACCGATCGCTCATCTCGGTGGTACCGAAACGTTGCGAAGGGAAAGAGAGAGATTACAATCCCATCTCGGTGAGACCGAGATCCCTATCGGTGAGACCGATTTGCCTAGGGTTTGTGGCAGTGGCTATGACATCTGAACTCGGTGGCGCCGGATAGAAAGAATCGATGGGGCCGAGTTTGACTTTTGGTTTAGGTCATATGTGGATGTTAGAAAGTAGTTGAGGGTTTTGGAGCATATCACTAAGCATTTTGAGCAAGTAAGCCTTTAAGCAACACCTCATCCCTCCTTGATAGTATTGGCTTTTCCTATAGACTCAATGTGATCTTGGATCACTAAAATATAAAATGTAGAGTCTTGAGCTATGAGCTTGAGCCAATCCTTTTGTCCTTAGCATTTTGAGGGGTCCACTTTTCTCATCCATGCCATGCCAATCATTGAGCTTTCCTGAAATATTCATCTTGAAATAGCATTAGCTCAATGAGCTATATGTTGTTAGGAATTACCAAAACCACCTAGGGATAGTTGCACTTTCAACATGACGTCGGGCTTGAGCACCAACGGGAAATAGTTGGCGAGTACTTTGTCGTCTCGTGCCCCGACAGCTTGCATCGCGATGGTGTAAACGCTCAGGAACTCAGACGGATGGGTCTTCCCGTCGTACTTCTCCTGGACCTCCGGTTTGAACGTGCGGGTGGTGGGCCACTAGAACTGCCGCAGCTCACGGGTGAACGCTGGACAAGTTATTGCATAGGGCAAGTCGCCAGCATCCCCCAGCGTAGGCTTGTACGCAGTAGGCCCAACATGCCTATCAGATTGGTGGCGCGCCTCCCGTTGCTGCTCGATAGTGGTCCGGGCGTCTTCCTTGAGCCGCTCCCGAAGAACTTGACATTGGTCGCAACGCTCGTGGGTTAGACGACGCCGTGGACACGTTATCATGGGCGTCAATCCGACGGGCCGGCCGTGGTGGAGGGGATTGCACCGTGGTGGCGGCGCCTCCAACCCTTCCACTGCCAATGCGCGCCTGCTCGATGGTCCGGCGCTGCGAGGGACTTGCTTCCCGATGGCCATCCCTGTTGGCGTGGCCAATGAGGCTTTGGATGGCAGACCTCCACTCTTCTTGCTTCTCCAAAGCAGGAGGAAAGTCGAGGAGTAGCTGCGCTTGCGCCAATGCTTCTGCTCATGTCGGTGGCAATGACAAGCGCGAGGAATGGGAGGAACTCGGACTTCTAACTATGTTAGAAGGAGTTCCATCACGATTCCGCGGTCGCATGCCTTTTTCGCCAGCATCATGGCGTGCATGTCGGCCCTGCACATCTTGAGAGTGACGCTGAGGGCTCTTGCCATGGCAACGCCCGGGGTCTTCAACATCACGGTGCTGTTCGTCGCGCACGAGCTGAGAGGACCGCCGCACGTGCGCTGGCGGGTCGTCTTTCTGCCCTTGGAGGTCCCCGCGCCACCCGTAGGTAGCACAACTCCGTCCTTGGGCGCGGCGGCGTGCGGACCGTCGTCGCCGCTGCGAACGATGCTACTCGCCTGGCTTCTCGTATCTGGGTGGCGTGGACGATCTTGATCCCCTCCACCACCGGCGTCTGCCACGTGACCCGTCCGCGCTGGCACGAGCGGAGCGGCTCCGGACGAACCGACCGCTACGATCGTCTTCTTCTTCGGAGCCGTGGCGATGAAGAAACTGCTGCACTAACTGATAGACCGGATTCTCACAACTTCTACCCCCTACCTGGTGCGCCGAAGATGTCGAGGAAAAAGAACACCTATGGGATCAAGAGCGATCCCTTCTACGGTTGGCAAGGAGAGGAGTTGCACGAAGAGTAGGTCTAGCGATCAGTGCGAGGGATTTTTACCCAGGTTCGGGCCGCAAAGATGCGTAATACCCTAGTCCTGCTTGTGTGTATATTATGTGTTCTTCAACTCTTGAACTAGTTGCGGTGCTGGCCTAGTCCAAAAAGTCTGAATCCTCCCTCAGTATGCCTCGGGCCTCCTTTTATATGTCAAAGGGGTTGCCAGAGCGACACACAAGAGGTGGAAAGTATCTACACTGTACATACTTATCGCGGGCATCGTAGGATAAACGCATTTAATGTGCTGCCTACGTGCCCTCTCACTTTATCGGGGACGGCAACAAAAACCTCCCCGTCCGTCGCCGCCCTTCCTTGCCTTGACACGCGTCTAGGCTGATGCGGCATGCAATGCCATGCTGGCTAGCTAGCTGCTGTGTTGGCGCGGTGGTAGAGCCTCCACGAAGATTTGCACGTTGCCATGCAGGTGTCTGCCTAGTTGGCAAGCTGGTCGTCGCACTAGAGTGGTGGTGAGGTGGCAAAACCTTGTCGGGCGCGGGCCTGGCTGCGGCCCCGCAATCGTCCCTGGCAAGGCTTATCGGGGGCCTCACGGTCGTCCCCGGCAAGGGTCTTGCCGGGGGTCTTCGTCTTCTGGTCTCACGTGGACCCGCAAGCTATCAATCTTCACAAAGATCTGGATGCTACTTTGCACGCGCCCTCTGAGCCTTGGCCTTGACGTTGTTGATGGTGTCAAAGCTTTTAGTCCTCAAGGGTGATGGCCTTGCTGGCGCTTCGTAGGTTGCCCCGGCAAGGCTCTTCCCGGGGCCACATAGGCTACCCTCGGCAAGGACGTCGCCGGGGGAGGCCCAGTCTGTCCTCTGCTCATTGTTCTTTGACTTGATTGTTGTCTTGGTAGTCTTGTGTTTTGTCTTCTGCTGTCCTGCCGGGCCCGACCACAGGCGTGGCTACAACTGCCAGTAAGGGGTACAGAAGAGCCCATACTTTTGTACACCGACAACAAGCAATTATCCGATATGGTCTGCATCACAAGAAGCTTACCGGATTTCCAAAAGATGACAAGGCCAAAGTTAGGGCAAAGTGTGATTGGCCAACATGTCCATTTATGCCCCAAAAGGAAGGACAATACGTTAGTTAACTCAACAAGAATTGCTGCCAAGTATGACAAGCTTATCAGATCTAACCTAATGTGGAAGATTTCAAGCTTGAAACAACATATTCAGGAAGACATGTTTGCCAATGTGACCACTGCTCAAGTGAAGAGAGCTAAGAAGATTGTGATGAAAAAGTGGCTTGATGCAGGAAAGGTCAAATAGCAGAATATTTGACTATCAGTTGGAGGTGTTAAGAAGTAACCCAGGTAGCACAGTAGTGGTTAAACTAGAACCAAAACAAGTGAAGCCTATCTTCCAAAGGATATATATCTGCTTAGTTGCATGCAAAAAAGGTTTCATGGCTGGTTGTAGGAAGGTTATTGGGATTGATGGGTGTTTTGTTCTTTTGCTTTTTAAAGATGTGAGAGTGCTAGATGGTGAAGGTTGGGTGATTATATCAGATCAACAAAAGGTAATTATTATATGCTAGATGCCATAACTTGTCTACTTTTGCACTCTGTTGCATGTTATGTATGTTGCATGTTATAACTTGTCTCTCACGGTTGCAGGGTATCATCACTGTTGTTTCAAAATGGGCACCAAGGGCTGAACATAGGAATTGTGCCAGGCATATTTTATGCCAATTGGATGATGAAGTTCAAGAACAAAGAATGACAGAAGCCACTCTGGGTTTGTAAAGGCTGCAAGCATTTTGGGCTACAGCCCACGAGAGCACGCGCACGAGCGCCGTTGTGCCAACCGACACTTGAAGTGAGTTTAAAACAATGTCAGGCGAGCAATCACACACCCTTGCACTCGCTTGGTCGTGTGGGACACCCATATTACCTCACTGCACAGTACCGACGACCGTTAAGACGTGTTACGTAAATAAATAACCTGCCCGGACACCTATTTTGGTTGTTTTTTGACTCAGATTTCCTCCTAAAACTTGCTACCACAGGAAAATTTTAAAAATAAATAAATAAATTTTACTTTACTTTTGTACTTTGAAAATGCTGCTAAAATTATTTTTTTTTCTAAAAAATTACAAGTTTACTAAATATTTTATAAATGTTCCAAAATTTTAGTTCACGAATTCAAAAAAAGAGTACAAATTGTCTCTCTGGGCCAAAGCATAACCGAACTAAGGATACGGACGCTGCACCGTGACGGCCCAAAACTGTTAAAACAAAGGCCCATATCACGAGACCCGACCACGAGCCCCGCGCGGCAGGCAGCCCCACGCGCACGCGCACCAACAAATCTCGCCAAGCACCCCTCGTACTCTCGTCTCGGACAGCACCGCACCGTCTCCTTCCTCCCCCCCTCTCTCTCCCCCGAAAAGGAGACCACCAGACCTTAGCTTAAAAATCCACCCCTTAATTCCGGATCCGACGGCCCAGATCTCTCCTGCCCGCATCGCCCCGTCCAACCCCCTTGCTCCCCTTCTTCCCGCCCTCCCCCCATGTCGCCGGCGGCGGCCGGCGCCGCCTCCTCCGGCGAAGCGCCGCCGTCGCGCGAGCCCTACACCATCCCCGCCTCGTCCGGTAAGCGCTCCCTCCCCGACTCGCGCTCCTACTAGGGTTAGTCCGGGGCCGCGTGGGCCAGAAAAGCTTGGCCGCCTCACCAATTGCGCGTCCTCCGCCCTGCAGGTTGGTTCCGCTGGGACGACATCCACGAGACGGAGCGCCAGGCGCTCCCGGACTTCTTCGGCGGCGCCGGCGGCACCGGCTTCGGGACGGCGTCGCGGAACCCCCGGATCTACCGCGAGTACCGCGACTACATCATCAATAAGTACCGGGAGGACCCCGCCCGCCGCCTCACCTTCACCGAGGTCCGCAAGGCGCTCGTCGGCGACGCCACGCTCCTCCGGAAGCTCTTTGGCTTCCTAGACGCCTCCGGCCTCATCAACTTCTCCGCCACCTCCTCCCGCCCCGCGGCGCAGCAGCCTGGGCCGGGCGCCGTCATAGAGGCGCCCCTGGGGTTGCAGGTGACGCCACGCCCGCCGGCGTCCTACTTCGTGGAGGAGAGACTGGGAGGAGGGAGCGCGGACGGCGCGTTCCGCTTGCCTCAGCTCACCTCGTACACCGATGTGTTCGGGGAGTGGACGCCTGGGAAGGGGCCCATATGCGGCTTCTGCGGCGACGAGTGCAAGGACGGCAAGGTGGAAACCTTGAAGGTACTACCAATTTTTGATATTTTGTATCACTAGATAGACTGTGTTCTATACTCAAGCCATTCTTTGATGACCAAGTGATCTACTGATCTATCTCCACATGCTTAGTTCGGTCATGCTGAACTGGATTGTTCGCGACATTGATTGCTGACTTGCTGTCACACCAAAGCCTTATTGGTCATAGCTCCGACAGAAGGACTCTCATCCAACATCTCAAACACATTGAAATGATTTTCTATACACTGCTCTTACACTAGATTGGGACGCTGTCGATTGCTTCTTGCTTCTCCAAGGATACAAAGTTCCCTCCCGCAAGGACACCCTTGAAGTTGATCACGCATCATCAAGGCAATTGGCCCGATCAGCATCATAATACCATTGATGTCCAGGCAATCATTTTTCTTGAACCATGCACTCCCCGTGAGTTCCCGCCAAATATCTCAGTATTCGATGAGATGCTTCCAGATATCCACTATCCGCATTATGCGTGGAAGGTCAATAATAAATACTCCAATGGCACCAATAACCTACCAAAGCCAGTCAAGGATAGTATTTTGATACTCCACCCTCTCAAACTAGCCGTTGGAAGCTGAATCGGTGTAGATCCTGACTGACCGGTTCAACTGACTCCGAACCACCGGTATGGCCTGCTTCGAGCCCAACGGGCAGAAAACTAGCAGTCGAAGACCGAACCGGTGCAACCAACAATAGCACACCGGTTCAACCACTTTAGAGGGCATGTTAATCCCGCGAGCAGAGTGGTGCAACCGGATATCCTCAGTGGTGCAACTATAATGAGTTGAACCGACACTGAGCTACCGGTACAACCGGTAAATATGCTGACCTGGACAGATGAGGCGCAACGGTTCAGCTCCCCCCTCCCTCCCTTCCTATTCAAGAGCAACAATGCCTTCCTCGATCAAATTAAGTAATTTCTGGCACTCTTTAAATCGATGTCATTTGGCATCAATCCTATCTTCAGAATTGGCTCAACGCGAGGAACAATTGCATTTCCTAAAGATAAATGCACACTGGTGCCTCCACACACACAGTTTGTGTTCCCTCCTAGCTTCATACCTATCCTTCTGCAGGAGCCCCTGTTTTCCTGATCGCACGCACACCGCCGTTATCTGCCAGCAAAGGCTTCTGATCCTCAAGCCTCCGCACATTCACCTCATGCTGCTGTCACTGACAAACAGCGAGACTCACCTTTAGCTCGCCATCTACTTCGTCAAGATCAACATCGCCACCGAGCTCAGGGCCACTGCTGGCGGCAAGGGTTCGGGGGCGATGGTAGATTTGATACCACGAAAATTGGAAGGTTGCTTGGGGGAATTTTCTGGCTGCTTCTTGTACATACACCAAGATACCTGGACCACTGGGCTGAATCACCCACACTTGCAAACACATTACAGCCAATCACGGCACCATTCAACACTTTGTCGAGCAGTGTCCCGCATATAAAATCTGCTCACTTCAGCTCTTCCAGGCACCAAACACAGCAAAGTAGTCTTTTTAATTGGATAACATGCTGTGAAATGTTATTTATGAAATTTATCCAAGTACTGTATTTATTTCTGTTTACAGAGGGCCGTGCTTAAACTGTCGGCTACAATTTGATTGAGTTGTGTACTTTATTATTGAGATGGATCAGATGGCATCAAGGTATGAGGAAAATGAAGGAAATTATGTGCTGTCTAATGTTTATGCATTTTCTTTTCAGGATGGTTTTAAAGTATGTTCAACGTGTTGCACAACCAATAGCGCAAAGAAGGAGGAAGCAAATAAATGCTCTGTTGTTAAACAGGAGAGCTCTGACAACCATGCTTCCAGTGCATGGACAGATGCAGAGACGCTACTCCTTTTAGAAGGTGTCCTAAAACATGGAGATGACTGGGATCTTATTACCCAGCATGTCCGCACAAAGAATAAAACAGAGTGCATTGCTAGGCTTATTCAGTTGCCTTTTGGTGAACATATGCTGGGCAACATAAATAATGGTAAATCTGATATTAGGTTCCATACAAACCAAACTACTGATGGCAAAACGAACCACTTTATTGTGAAGGAGGCATCAAGTCAGTCGGCCGATATGGTTGATGGCATGCAGATTGACGGGGAGGAAGATGGTGCTGATAAATTAGTTGAAGACCATCCTTCAAAGCGTCGGCGTTTATGTTCGTCAATAGATGTCACCAGTTCATTAATGGAGCAGGTAATAAAGAAAATATAACATATGAAGAAACTAATTTGTTAAGGATGTACAAAGATTTTTAGCAGATCACTGATATTTGCTAATACTACCTCAGTTAGCACTGCTGACTACCGCGGTGAGCCCAGATGTTGTGGCTGCAGCTGCAGCTGCATCAATTAAAGCATTGGGCAATGAAAATCCCCAAGCAAAGAAGGCATTTCATCTCAGCGAGAAAGAATACCAAGTCAAATCATTCTCTTCTAACCATGTCCAAGAGAGGTAAACATGTGCTGCAACTTGTTATTCTTTTTAGTATTGGTTCAATCTATTTATCTTAAGATGACATTTTTACAGTGATTGCAATGTTGGCAATAAGGAAGCAGAAATGCATGGACAGACTGTTCCTGGTAGGCCTAATTCTCTTCTCACATTTTGAGCTACTGTAAATATATTTGATTCCATGATATTTCTTTATCTGTTGATAAACGTTGTTGTCATCAGAACATTTTCTGATGCATCTTAGGATTAGATTTACCACTCTTAACAAGTTCAGTAGTATTATAATCAGCATCTATGTCCTGAATTTTATAAGCTTACTAGCATAATGCCCGTGCATTGGTACGGAACCACAAAAGTAATTGAAGTTGTATCGGACTAGTATTATACGACAACCAATGCACTTGGAATACTGCAAAGAGGAACTCAAGCAAAGCAGTTTAAACTGCACTTGTGTAACGGCAGGGCCATGGGAGCACCGGTTAGCGATCCATGGCAAGATTTCGCAACATGGAA